CCCGGCGGGGAACAACGGGCCGGGGCCTTGCCGTCGCCATCAGCCCTCTCGACCACGCGGCACGAAGACGCCATCTCGGGCGTGGCCGGGGAAGAACGGCGGGAAGCCGCCATCTTGCGCCCTCCGCCGCGGGAAGCCGCCATCTTGCACACGTTGCGGGGTGACGCCATTTTGTCGCTGCCACGGGAGTCACCATCGGCGGAGGACAGCGGAGCAAGAATCCGCAGCCGTCATTTAACAACCGTCAAAGAATTCTCCATCAGCGGCGATTGGATCGCATTTGCCTGCCGTTTTCAAGCGGCCGTACGCTCCGCCAAATGGACGGACGTGGAGGCCCTGGAAGTTTTACCAACGCTTCTCGACGACGAGTCCGTCCGGTTCTTCCGTTCCATCAAGGCCGACAAGAAGAAGACGCTGCAGGGTGTCTTCGAGGAAATGGCGGATGCGTACGAGCCTCCGGACGATGCCCATCGTAGATTTATTCAGCGCCAACGGGCGCCTGAGGAATCGCCTGTGGCTTTCAGGGGCGCAGTTCTGGAACTGGCGATGGCGGCATACCCCGAGACGGAGCTGGATTTGTTGGAACCCCTTGTGTTGGGCAAGATGCTGGATCTGTCTAGAGACCTGGGGATCCCCATGCCGGTGTGCAGCCATGATAAATTGACGTCCCGTGCTGCGGCTAAGTGCTTGGACGCTCAATTTAATCTCCGACGCTGGAAGCAGGTGTCAGCTTGGACGGGGGGCCCCATTGTTGAAGGCGGTGCTACGGGGTGGGATCCTAAGAAGGCGGTCTACGTTCCTGGCGACAAGGGTCCGCAGGAGTTGACGGCCGCCTCCGGCCAGTGGCCTCCTCGGGGGGGAACGGGGCCGAGGTCTGGCCCGCCGGCGCGAGAGCATCAGGACAGAGGGGGTGCCGCGCGCCGGAACGACGTGGAGTGTTTCCGCTGCGGCCGTAAGGGCCACTTCGTCAGCGACTATTGGGCTCGCATCCCCGGGCCGCCCCAGCAGGAGGCCTCGACCACGGACGTCGCGCCAAAAGACCAGCCAGGACAGGCAAGTCGGTGCGCATCAGACACCTGGCAAGGCCTGTCACCTCATGCATCACCATCGCCGCACGGTCCGTGTGTCGTTAACAACGAGGTGCCTCCGAGGGACCCGTGTCGCTCGCTGACGCAATGGCGGCGATTGGCACGGAGGGTAGTTGCGGCTGCTACGGGGTCGTCCACGGTACCAGGTTCTATTCAGGGGGTCGACGTGCGTATTTTGGTGGACTCCGGTGCGTCTGCGACCATTATTTCGGATGTCATTTTCCATCTTTTGGGCATTCCGTCAGGTAGAGTGCGAGCGGTTTATGATTCATGCATAGCGGCGAACGGGGGAAGTATGGGCATTGTGGGCCAGGTGGATGCCAACATATCGATTGGGGGGTGTCGGCTTCAAGGACCATTTTGATATCCAGGTCCCTTGCGGTACCCTGTTTGTTGGGGACTGATTTCCTGGCAAAAATGCCCATTCAAATAAGGGTTGATCAGAATTGCATTGAATTACCGGGGGGGGCGAAATATTTCGTTCCTACCGTCGCCATGGGGCCGGCCTGCCCCTGTTTGCCAGGTGCAGGCGCTGTCCGAGGTATCTGTTGACATTCCACCTGGTTCGCAGATGCTTATCCCGTTGAGATATCGGAAGCCAGTACCTGGCGTTGAGGGAGCGGCGGGGGTTCTGTTATCACCGTCCACGGCTATAACGGGCGGCTCGGCGCTGGTTGGGGTGCAAACGATTGTCCGACCGGGCCAGCCCCCGTTCTTACAGGTGCTAAATGGGAGTGCGGAGAATGTCAGAGTCCCGGCCGGAACGGTCTTGGCTCACGCCACGACCGCGTTCACGGCCCATGACAACCGGGGCCGCCGGGACATGGTAGGGGGGGGTCTCGGGGCCTACGGGGCAGGATCACCGTTGGGTTGCCGAGTTATGCGGGGAGAATTCATCCCTGACCGGGGAACAACGGTCCGCGCTTCGCGCGCTGTTGCTAAGTTATTCGGACGTGTTCAGCTCGGATGATTTTGACTTGGGACGCACCTCCCTGCTTTCCCACCACATTGACATGCGGGATGCCGCTCTGATTTGGTTGAACTCGCATCGGTTGAGCCCGACGGAGCGGGATCAAGCTCGCGGTGCAGTGGAGGACATGCTGGCCACTGACATAATATCCCCGTCTAACAGTCCATGGGGCGCGCCGGTGGTCCTTGTGAAGAAGAAGGATGGGAAACTGCGATTTTGTGTTGATTTTCGGAAATTGAACAAGGTGTCTGTCGCAGATGCGTACCCCCTGCCGCGTATGGATGATTCCCTCGATGCCTTGTCTGGGGCAAAGTTTTTTTCAATGCTGGATCTCTCTTCGGGATTCTGGCAGCTTCCCCTCGACGAGTCCTCGAGGGAAAAGACGGCTTTCCGTACGCCGCAGGGACTGTTTCAGTTTAATTTCCTTCCAATGGGCTTGAATGCGGCCCCCGCCACTTTTCAGCGATTGATGGAGCTGGTGTTAACGGGTCTGCAGTGGGAGACATGTTTGATTTATTTAGACGATGTCATCGTCTTTAGCCGCACATTTGACGAACATTTGCAGAGATTGGAGACGGTTTTTGCGAGGATGCGCTCCGCCAATTTAAAATTCAAACCGAAAAAATGTCACCTACTGCAACGATCCGTGCGTTATTTGGGACACATCGTCAGTGCGGACGGGGTGGCCACGAACCCGGAGAAGACGGCGTGCGTCCGTAACTGGCCAACCCCGGCCTCGGTTCGGGGATGTACGTCGCTTCCTGGGGTTCGCCTCATACTATCGCAGGTTCGTTCCGAACTTTGCTATGATCGCTAGGCCCTTGCACCTCCTTATGGGTAAGGGTCGGAGGTTCAGTTGGGGTCCGCCGGAGGAAGCGGCGTTTCAGGGCCTACGCGATCGGTTGGCGACGGCACCGACATTGGACTATTCAGATTTTGATCGACCTTTTATTCTGGATACGGACGCTAGTGACACTGGGATCGGGGCCATTCTGTCACAGTCCAAGGGCGGCGTGGAACGCGCGGTAGCCTACGGTATCCGTGTACTGTCCCCGGCAGAAACCCGCTTTTGCATTACTAGCTGCGAACTATTGGCTATTGTCCATTTTCTCCGCCAATATCGGCCGTATCTTTACGGTCGGTCGTTTATTGTGCACACGGACCATGCGGCTCTGCAATATGCCTTGAGGGTTGACCAACCATCTGGCCAACTGGCACGATGGTTGGAGACCCTGCAGAAATTTTCCTTCGACATACAATATCGGAAGGGGTCGCGTCACGCGAACGCGGACGCACTCTCCAGATTACCGCAGGGGTCCCCTAGCGCTTGCGCGTCGGGTACGAATAGGTGTACGCCGGTTCAGCTACCCCCTCGGCCTGTCGTGTCAGCTGTCGAGGTGCCTGGGGCTCCGGTGTGCCCAGGACCGGCCGATGGGGTTCTGAACCTGCCGCGCTCGGTATGGATTCGCGAACAATTGCTTGACGACTCGTTGGGGGCTTTACGGAGTCGGGCTGCGAAGGGAGCGGGGAGATTGCTGTCCGGGGGGACGCCGGGGGCCGCTCTCTGGGATGGTTTGCTCATGTGGAGGGAGGGATTGCATGACCGCTGGCGTCTGGTAGTTCCGTCGTCGTTACGGTACGAATTGATTCGGACTCTGCACGGCGACACGTTATTACATCTCGGGATGCAGAAGACTTTGTTAACATTGCAGCGAGATTACTTCTGGCACGGCATGACGACGGATGTCGTCGAACACATTCGGGCGTGTCCCGAGTGTGCCCGACGGAAGCCGCCTAAAAATCCTTACGTGCCGCCGGTGCAGTCTATACAGGTGTCTCGAATCAACGAGTTGGTGGTGCTGGATATTTTGGGACCTTTCCCGCCATCCGCTAGGGGTAATAAATATTTGCTGGTCGGGGTGGAATATCTTTCCCGGTGGCTGATGGCTTGGCCCTTACCCAACCAGTCGGCGGCATCTATCACGGACGCCTTCCTATTTGGATATGTGCTGGACAAAGGGGCGCCGGAGAGGCTACTCACGGATCAGGGGCGAAATTTTTCTTCCAAATTGTTGGCGGAGGTGTGCGCTGTGCTGGGAACCAAGAAGGTCTGTACCTCTCCCTACCACCCGCAGACGGATGGCATGGTGGAACGCCTTAATCGGACGCTGTCGGCCATGCTATGTCACACGGTTGACGAGAAACAAGCTGATTGGGACTTGCATATACCTTGTGTGTACACCTGCATTATTCAAGAATAATCTGCTCCTGTGTTTCTGTCGACAAAATATCTTTAAAACATTATTCCATGTAACTAACCTCTCTGCACTCCCATTCATTACTTATCGGCTCCTGCGAGCTCAGCAGACTCTTTCAGACGCGGGATCATCCTCCCCGCACTTTTGGCAGGCCAGGGGCATGCTTCCACGTGGCATTAGGCCGCAGCTCTCTCTCTCAGCCAGTGTCACGCTCCGAGCACACATCATCACCCCGCGGCCACGGCAGCACGCAATCAGGATGGATGATGAGGCACCTGTTTCGTTGTTCCTCCCTCGTAACTTTAAATTTGAGGCCACCAAATAACCGTGCTGCACTGCCACACCATGCGGCTCCACGCCCATCTCTCTCGGGCCCTTCCCCTTCTGTCCATCTAAATCGGGGCACCTCCCCTCCTGTCAATCTCCACGTCCTGTCCATGAGACACCTCCCCTCACCAAATGGCACGGAGCGGAACCGAGGGAGGGGTGGAATAAGGGGGAGGAATCGGAAGGGCCACTCCAGTGTGTAGATGTCAAGCAAATGTGAATGTATAAGCACGTGTGTTCATTTGAAGTAAGTTGACGTTTGAGTGAACTCTTGCAACAAATGCAAGGGATTTATAAACATCTCGATGCAGGACCACAAAATAATTTCAAACTAAAGGCAGATGTTTTGCTTCTCAATTTATTTGTCAATCAATAACAATCAACACAATGAACACATTTGTACATGTGTCTCTGGATGCACTATGTGTCTATCCGTATCATGTGAAGTCATGGTAATTATAGAGATGTTGTTTTAAATTGAAGATGTATCGCTTCAAAGAATATCACTGCTTCATATAATTCCTAGTTGGCGGCAATGGTCTGGTCGATCCAGCTGCGTATGGCGGTGACGCGTGTGTACGCGGCCGGCATGCTGGTGGAGCACGAGCTATGGCCCCACGACACGATCCCCACGAGGTTCCATGCGCCGTCCTTCTCGCACACCAGGGGGCCGCCAGAGTCACACTGTAGGCGAGACACACACACACGCATGAATTCCTTTTCAGTCGGACACATCTGTCCATTTCTATTTCTACAAAGAAATAGGTTCCATCAAAAACACAAATGACAGAGACCAAGATGTTTTAAAGACATACTGCTTTACACTATGGGAACCTCATTTGCTAGTAAAAATATGATAATTGGTTTTTTACCCTTCTATCTGGCAACAAAACTGACACCTTTTTACAAGGAGTCATGTTTGCATAGACCACAATACCTGCAGTCATAATGCAAACAAAAACATAACTCTGATAATGTGCACTGTACTTGAAGTTGATTGGTCCACACCCGAGACAGCTTTCCTTAGAGCCTAGTCTCACATGGGTTGGACCAGATGACGCCAAAAGGCGCACAACTCAAAGACAATGCACCATCAGAGTATGAGAGCTCGGGGGCAAGCATCTACACTATGGGAACCTCATCTATCTATATATATAAAATCGTGCATGTCTGTCTGTGTGTGTGTGGATTTCGGACCATACGCACTTTCATTGGACGGCGGTTGCCCCTGGCAACGGCTAGCGACGCCTTCGCCGCTTTCATTGGACCTGGCAACGGCTAGCGACGCCTTCGCCAAGGGCTGCAGTTTCATTGGACGGCGGTTGCCCCTGCTAACGGCTAGCCACGCCTTCGCCACTTTCATAGGCTCCGTAAATAATTAAATAATAGCCATTACACAGTATTGTTGGAGCGCTGAGGGGGGGGGGGGGAGGCACGCCACCCGTACCCTGCCTTTGCCGGCTGGACAATTTTGGCGAGGCCGCAGGCTCTGCACTGCTACTAGGCCTCGACACCCACCACGCCACTCTGAGGTAAATTCATCAAAGTTTTTCCTACTCTTCACTCCACCCCCACCACAATGTGTGCAATTTATATTACTTTTAAACCCAACGCGCCAACAATCGATTACTTAAATGTTCACTGTACAAATAGTCATTAAGCTGGGTCAGCGTACTGCCAGTCTATCATGTAGACTGTAGCCTGCTTATTAAACTCGGTGAGCGTACTGCCACTCTATCATGTACACTCTAGCCTGCTTATGAAGCTGAGTGCGTGTACTGCCAGTCTATAATGTGGACTGTAGCCTGGTTATTATAACCGATTCTTTATATGTTCTTTGTACAAATAGTCATTAAGCTGGTTGAGCGACCCCAGTTCCATTCCAACTCACGCCCACCACCGCTGACGATTATTTGAAACGGACCTGGGCCTCCCCTAGGTCGACTCAGCCTCAAACGCGTAACTGCTGTCGTGTGTGAACATCGTCACTGGGGAGACAAAGGCGGCCGGCCATCGTGAATCCAAGTCCTGGGCGAAGCCGGGTCATGTGTATGTGTGTATGTGTTTATGTGTATGTCTGTGTGTCTCTATGTATGTGTGTATGTATGTGTGTGTATGTGTTTGTGTGTATGTGTGTGTGTATGTATGTCGGTTTTTTTGTATGTCTTTATGTGTATGTCTGCGTGTCTGTATGTATGTGTGTATGTACGTGTATGCATGTGTTTGTGTGCATGTATGTGTGTGTGTATGTATGTGTGTGTATGTGTTTCTGTGTATGTATGCGTGTGTACGTATGTGTGTTATGTGTGTGTCTGTGTGTCTGCATGTATGTGTGTGTGTATTGTGTATGTGTTTGTGTGTATGTGTTTGTCTCTGTGTATGTATGTGTGTATGTATGTGTGTGTATGTGTTTGTGTGTATGTCTGTGTGTGTATGTATGTGGGTTTTTTTATGTGTTTATGTCTATGTCTGTGTGTCTGTATGTATGTACGTGTGTGTATGTGTTTGTGTGTATGTATGTGTGTGTGGGGAGCGGTGGTGTAGCGGTTAGCGCGCTGCGCTATGAACCTGGCGACCCGGGTTCGATTCCCGCTCACGGCTAACACCAGTGACGATTATCTGAACCGGTCTCGGGCCTCCCCTAGGTCGACTCAGCCTTAAATGAGTACCTGGTGCGGTGTGTAAACATCGCCACTAGGGAGACAAAGGCGGTCGGGCGTGGTGCTGGCCACCCACCCCCTCGTGTACCGTTCCGGCCTTCATAGGTGCTCGCTAACAGCACTTGCCCCAACAGTCTGTTCCAGGCTATATGGGGATCTTTGTCTTGTATGTGTGTGTATGTATGTGTGTGTTTGTGTGTATGTGTATGTCTTTGTGTATGTATGTGTGTGTATGTGTGTGTGTATGTATGTGTGTGTATGTGTTTGTATGTGTTTGTGTGTTTACGCTCGCATTACACAAATGTGTTGCAGGTCTAAGGCGTTCCTCGCGCAGCATTGCCGCTTTCTTTTTTCAGTCGTTTACTGCCGTACGCACCCTGACAGTCGTGTGTGTCTGCAGCAAGCGCGTGTATGTGTACCTATGGACGCGCGCGCGTGTGTTGTGTAGGGGGAACGGTAGTGTAGTGCTTAGCGTGCTGTCTGTGTCTGTGTGTGTGTGTCTGTGTGTGTGTCTGTGTGTGTGCGTGTGTGGTGTGTGGGGAGCGGTAGTGTAGTGGTTAGCGTGCTGTCTGTGTGTGTGTGTCTGTCTGTGTGTGTCTGCGTGTGTCTGTGTGTGTGTCTGTGTGTGTGTCTGTGCGTGTGTGGTGTGTGAGGAGCGGTGGGTGTAGTGGTTAACGCTACGCTGCGCTACAAACCCGGCGAACCGAGTTCCATTCCCGCTCACGGCCACCACCCGTGACGATTATTTGAACCTCCCTTAGGTCGACTCAGCCTCAAACGAGTAACTGGTGTGGCGTATTAACATCGCCACTGGGGAGACAAAGGCGGCCGTGCGTGAGTGGTGAGGGAGGGAGAGTGGTGAGGGAGGGAGAGTGGTGAGGGAGGGAGAGTGGTGAGGGAGGGACAGTGGTGAGGGAGGGAGAGTGGTGAGGGAGGGACTCAGCCGCAAAACGAGTAACTGGTGTGGCGTATTAACATCGCCACTGGGGAGACAAAGGCGGCCGGCCGTGGTGGATACAAGTCCCGGGCGAAGCCGGGTAGTACAGCTAGTTTGCCAGTAAAAATATGATAATTGGTTTTTTACCCTTCTATCTGGCAACAAAGCTGACACCTTTTTACAAGGAGTCATGTTTGCATAGACCACAATACCTGCAGTCATAATGCAAACAAAAACATAACTCTGATAATGTGCACTGTCCTTGAAGTTGATTGGTCCACACCCGAGACAGCTTTCCTTAGAGCCTAGTCTCACATGGGTTGGACCAGATGACGCCAAAAGGCGCACAACTCAAAGACAATGCACCATCAGAGTATGAGAGCTCGGGGCAAGCATCTACACTATGGGAACCTCATTTGCCAGTAAAAATATGATAATTGGTTTTTTACCCTTCTATCTGGCAACAAAACTGACACCTTTTTACAAGGAGTCATGTTTGCATAGACCACAATACCTGCAGTCATAATGCAAACAAAAACATAACTCTGATAATGTGCACTGTCCTTGAAGTTGATTGGTCCACACCCGAGACAGCTTTCCAACGTGGTCTCCCTCTTCACTCCCTCAACTCCTCCAGATGTCTTCCGGTCTCCTTCCTATAACCTCTCCCCCACGTGACCCAGACTCCTCCCTCTCCCACGTGACCCTGACTCCTCCCTCGCGGATCGTCACATCCGGCCTGCCCATTTACGCTCGCATTACATTCATATAATTGTGGCTATGGTTGTACTATATAAATACCTAATATCTGCCATTACATACAATGAAACAAGAAAAGTTCAAAAATAAATAACAAAGCAATGTAATACAATACACTATTAGACATTATTGTTTAAAATAAATGAAAAGTCAATCCCATGTGTTAGTGAATTTTTTTATATTTTAGACAGGAAATTATTTTTCCAAATTAGATTTTTTTTCAGGGGGGGGGGGACCCCCAGACCCCCTGGAAGATTTGGTCCCCCCCCCAATGTTGACTCCAAGGCTTTTTAGTGCACTTTAAAATAAAACCAGTTGTTTTTAGTTTTTTACTTTTTTAAAGGAGTTTATTTTCAATGCAATATTATGTCAGTTCCTCTTACTCGCGTCATGCATATGTAGGACTTGATAAACACGCGTCACGCGCTCGGTTGAGATGCGTGCACGTGGCGGACAGTGAGGGCAAATGGGGACACAGGGCGCTGAGCGACTTACTGTTGTTATTGTACCAATTAAGGTGGCATGATAGTTAAGGGGGGCTGCAGGTGGCCGGGGGTAATTGAGGACGCAGGCCGGTGATTGGACGAGAAGTATGGGTGTCTGGAATTGGCGCAGCGGTATCTATAACAACGCCACGTGGCATTGGGGGCTGGGGGCAAGTGGCGAAGTGGGGGATGATCCAATTAATTAAGGGGAATTGGTTCAGGGATAAAGGGGGAGAGCGTGGAGAGAAATGGGAGTTGGTGCCTGGGACGAGTGACGAACAGATGGAGAGACGGAGCAGCGGATAGTGTGGGTATAGTATAAGGTAGCAGTGGACAAAGAGAGTATAGTATAGAGTAGCAGTGGACAAAGAGAATATAGTGTATGGTAGCAGTGGATAGAGAGAATACAGATAGAGTAGCAGTGGACAGAGCGAGTACAGCGTAGGATAGCAGCGGAGTAACGGACCTTGGTAGAGAGAGCTACGACGGAGTGGGACGGCAGAGAGAACAAAGAGCGACCGAGCTGGAGAGCGAGAGCAGAGAAGAGGGTCGCTGGAGGAGCAGAAGGAGAGCGAGCGAAGCCAGCGGAGTGGAGCGAGCGAACGGAGGGACATTGAGTGATGTTGATGGGGAGTTGTGAGTTGAAGAGTACGGAGGGCCATTGAGTGATGCCGACGGAGGAGATGTGAAACTATATGAGTTAATAAAGAACCGAGAAAGACAAAGAAGCTGTCGCGTCAGTACGAGTCCTCCACATACAATTATTTTGGATAGCTTAAGAGATGTCCATAGTACATAATTCTGGTTGTTAGTAACATTATTATTTATTAGTCATGTTTATAAAACATCCTTGCTTTCTATGCAACTCCTGTAATCACGCCCTTCCCTCGTAACATGCTCAGCCATTTTAGCTGGGTCGCCACTGAAAAATAGCTTCTTAACTCAATGAACTGAACGACTGACTGAGGTGCTCACCCTGCACGAAGAAGCTCCAGCACCACCAGCACAGATCATGACGTCGGTGATTTTCTGCACGTTGGCCCACATCTGCTGGCAGGTGGGGGTTGCCATAATTGCCAGAGCGGTCTGTCGCAGCTTTGGGGGTGTGTTGGAGTCTGAAACGTCAAGCATGTCACCACGGTTAAGTGTGAATCCTATAGCTATTTCGAACACTTCTGAAGAAGCATTACCTAGTGTCAAATGATAGTTACCAAAAATGTTAGTCTTGCCCCAACCAGACGTGACACAGTTCAGGCCAGCAGGGAAGTTGTCAGAGGTGGAGGAGAGACAGACGGGTGAGACGCCATCGGTCATCTGAACAGGCTGGGACAGCTTGATGAGCGCAACGTCATTGTTGATGGTTTCTTCGTCCCACTGGGGATGGTTGGTGGCCTGTTCAGATATAGAAAGGAATAGAGGAATGCCATACACTTATGTCAAATACGTAGAGTAAAATCTTTTAAATCCAGACTACTTCATGGAAGAATCTATCATTATGGATCATGCCTGATAATGGCTTAATTTGAGTTATATTTAAATGTAAGTAACATAATCCACTTAGATGTAATGAACACGTTGTAACTTAACAACCACAATTGTAAAATGTAATACTGTCAATAAAAAAATGTCAAGTCACTCGAGCTTCATTTGAGTCACCATCGCCATGAGGTTGCCCAGGTTAACTGAATGGATATCTGAAGAGATTTCCTGACGAGCTTGAGCAATGTAAAGTTTTCTTTACAGAATAAGCATAAAAACATGAATGCGAGCCAAACCACAACACTTTGGTAACAGGAGCGTCCGAGGCCACAAGTGCAACGATTGCATAAGTATAACCATGTAGTCTGTTATTCTTTGGATATTTCAGTAAATTCACATAGATAGGTTCAAAAAATAATAAAATAAATAAGCAAAAACTACGACGTTTCGATCGCAACACAAGAAACCGTCATCAGGTGGAAAAAAGGGGGGGGGAAACACTAAAGACAAGGTGTTTAAAGGTTTTTAATGGGCGTAGCCAAGGCGTCCTGGTATCAGAATTAAGTAGGCGGGGCACAAGTGCCCTGGGGCCTGCGCAAGCAGAGATTGTTATGTTAATGTGAAATCGGAATTAGGAGAGGGGGAGCCGCATGAGACGTGGAGAAATTAACAACTTGTGGTACGCCCAATACAGGGGCGACAGCACAGGAACTGGAATTGCTTGTCCCATCATTGGTAAAATAAAACTAACATCGGAAGGTGACAACATGGAAACATCACAGCCAGTTATGACTTAAACTGTATGATGACTTCCTTCCAATGATTGCTGAGTTTGTACCCATCCTCTTGGTGGAAATTGTGTCTGTGTCTGTATATATGAACGAATCTTTGTTGATAGCCAGTGGGCTTGCAAAGTACCTTCGTCGTAGAGAAATACATTTTCTGTGAGCCAACCGCATTAAAACAATGATCAGCCACGACCGAAGTGTTGGTCCTCCGGTGTTTCAAATCTGCCTTATGCTCACAAACACTGTCCGAGACATGTCGCTTAGTTTCCCCAATGTAACTACTGCCATAGACACAGCTTAGTTTGTAGACGCCGGGTATTGCATGTCAAGGATCTTATCCTTCACAGATGGGATCAGATCATGTCGTCTGTTGGCAATGAGATATCGCTGTCATTCTTATAGGATATTTTTCTGAATATATGGAGCACTTTTCACCTATATGTTAATATACATACACGCATTATTTTATTTACTTTATTTCGGGCAATACAGTCGAAAAAAGAGCAGAACATTACCACCAGCAGACCCCGAGGTAGACTGGTAGATGCAAATTTACTGCACCAACTGGCCTCAGATTACCTTGGCGATGGTCATTGTCTGGATCTTTTCGGAGCTGGAGCTTTGGTCATGCTCACCCAAAATGACACGGTGCTCCGAGGGGCTGTTGAGCAATCACAATAAATTACTTCCATGTTATCCCGAATGGGCCAGAGGTGAGCCCCTTGACAATTTCAGGCATTCACATACTGAATTAAATAAATTATGTAAGTTCTTTGTCAATCCGCTGCTGTATAAAGGCCTCTCCAAGCCACATTGTGTGGGTCGTTTGACTAAACTTTACACTGTTTAGTGCACTTTATTTTAAGGTATACCATAGTGGTACTAAAATAAAATAAAAAATTCTAACGTGCACAGTATTTTCTTGCTCTCAAAGAGACACTATTACTCAGAGTTATGAGCAACTACGGACAACCAGCAAGGCAGCCAGGTGGTCAGCCGGTGCCAACAAATGCTTAAGCTGTGGTTTTCTCTATCCGCCAATTAATGACGGTGTATACATGTGGGAGGAAACTGGACCGCCCGGAGAAAACTCACGCGTGTGAGGCGGAAACACTCTCCCATACATGGAAGCAGGGGAGTCTATATTTGCTGTAGCAGCATTCTGGCGAACCAGGATATGACTCTTTGATGCCCATGGGAAGGGAGTTTCACAACAATCCACTTTCTTTCGTCTCCACACTGCTGAATTGCAGGTATGCACAGCCACCACCATGTTAAAGTACATGGTATAAGTTGTGATTGTAATTTCATAAAGGTCAAACATAATCACGAACATATGTACCTCTGCTTACAACAAATTACATGTTTTAACCTTGTTTTATTAAATTCTGTACATGTGCGTAGTAATTGTAAAAGTCATTAACCACTTATTTTCATGATGCTGGAATTGATGAATTTACATGCAATATTTTTAGAACATATGAAGACTTTGTAGGAATATGAATGGATTGACCACATTTAAAATTAAAATGTAAATACATATATTAGGAGATGTGTTCCTAAAAGGTATCAGAGCTAGAATTGCCGTGGCAAAAGCAGAATTCAAAGAAGAAAGAATACTGCTGGTAGCATTAACATGAAACGAATCGCGTGACTTTTAAAGACCCACGTATACAATGTGGTGGTTGTTCTGCTGAGGTATAGATACTGAAATGAAAGAGGAAAGATGCATGAATTAGTTTTGAAATGTGTGTGTGGAGTTGAATTGGAATACATGTGCAGTATTATTTAATTGTGTCTGTGAACGCAAAAGCAATAGATTGGGCATATATGAAGTACGCTCTAGGAGGCTGAAGGAGAAAATCTGAAAAGGTAAATAAAAGTGTTATTTCTAAGGGTGATGTGACAGTGCAATGTTTTATAGGATGGAGAGAACTAAAATCGTGAACCTGCCCTCATAAAGAAAACTCAAGAAAAGTTACATGAACATATAATTTGAATAGAATTACCTGATTTTGCAATGAGCAGCTGTCACAACCCAGTAAGGGTCAATGAGGGAGCCGCCGCAGAAGTGGAAACCAGTGTTGTTCTGCGTGGTGAAAATCGCATGGCTGTCACATTGGTGCTCAGTGACTCAATCCTCGATTTTCAATAATACAATGTAAACATTATTACTTCTCAAGAACTCGTATATTGTTTTTCATCATTTCGATCTTAATGTGCCTTCTATCGTTTCCCGAGGTATGTAATCAAATGTACTTTTCCCTTTGTTCACTTCACCTGCTTTTTATGTTAAGTCATGAAAAGTATTAAGCCACCGCTGAGGAGCTGTGTTGGTCAAAATTAGTTCCATACATAGCTATGTATAAATAATTTATTTGTATTTCTGGCAACCTTGTCGGGTAGCGGATGGTTTAAGAAAAAAGTGTGGCATAAAACTGCCACGTGGCCAAACCGTGAAACAAATATCAATTGGTTTTGTATTATGTTCATATTACTGTACTCATATGTTTGTAATCAAAGTTTCTGTTTATTCCCATAACTCCCCACACTGCCTCCCCCATGCACTCTGGCCATCGCCATTAGTTTACATCTGCAAAAGTTGACTGGCATTCACACAGTGTCAGTATCAAATGCAGGTATTGACACCATGATGCCGGTGAATATAGAGCACTCACCTGCATGGACGCCTGCCAGGGCCAGGAGCCCGGCATCGCTTCCTCGCCGTTGACGATGCGGGAGTAGCCGGTGATGACTGGCTTGATGGCTGGGACACCACACCCTGTACATATACAATTATTTAATATTTCTATGATTCAGAGACTTATCTCTATATATAGATATCCACATCAGCTCAAACTTCCTGTAAATCACGTGACTTCTATGTGGTTTCCCTCACTCGTGTCCCTCTCCCCCACCACCCCCTGTGAAAACAGATGCTGCTCCTTGTAGCAGCATTGAGGCCCTAATGTAACCTCTTTCTTCTTGTCAGTTTTCCTGACAATATGGCATAATTTTTCTATCCCTTTTTCATCTTTTTCCTCAAAATTTGTTTATTCTCTTCCCCATTCTGTTTTCCATATGTTGTTCTTTTATACATTGCACGCTTGACTCTACTCCCCTTCCTGTGGTGTGCTACGGCTAAAAAGTTGCGACTTCTGTTCAAAGAACATGTAGCAGAGTAGGTCTACAATGTGATGAGCTGCCAGCTTTTTTAGCATGAAGAATAAAGCCATGAAAGAACAGCATATACATCGCCATTGTCACTCACCGAATGTGGCGCTGATGAAGGCAAAACACGAAACGAGCCAGAAGAGAGCCATTGCTTATTCCGTAAACACTGCTGGTCTCATGCTGATTTTCGGGCTCTTTTATACGAAAAAAGGTACGTTAATAGTTACCGTGTTCTTACATATTGTCGACAGTTTATTTACTCAATCAGATGTCATATCACAGGTGTATTGGGATCGATATCAGCACATGACCTTGACAATTTTCATCATGGCAGGAATCATTAAATATTTTCCATGAAACAGCGTAGAGGAAATATTTTATCTGATATTCGTCTACTTGTTGAGATACATTTGGGAACATAAATATGTAGTGACGTAAATAGAGTCACTATGGCGTTTAGCACCAGCTAACATCACAAGAGTGGAGCTGTGTGTCTAGGGCCTCTCTTGGACACCAGAGTGGGTATGCCATGGAAGGCGGGTCTGAGGGGGCATAGTCCTGGTGACAGTGAGAGAGAGGTTGAGTAAGGATATGACAGTCTGGGTGACCCAGAGCGGGCACATGACCGGACGAGGTGACAAGGGGGGCCCAAAAAGAGGGGAGAGGGACACGTGATATAGGGACCACAGTATTCGAGAAGGTTCTGGAAAGGGGCGTGGCCAAGGGCAGAGCCCGGCCACGCTGCAGCCCATAAAGGCCGAGTCCCAAGCCCTGATCTGGGCTGTTCTCTGGAAACAACCCTCGGCACGTCTCTCCGATCTTCCGTCTCCGCTCGGCATTGTGGATCAGTCAGGATGTTACTGACTGACCCGGTTATGTAGTTACCCTGTTGGGGTCTAGTTAATATGTGTACGTTTATGTAGTTAGCCCTGTTGGGGCTGTGTAATAAATGTGTTGCCTCCAAGTCAAGTGTGTGCCTCCGTGAAGAACACTACAACTGGTGTCAGAAGTGAAACATAATAGTTAGGTGATAGCCTAGCGTAAAATAATGTTAACTAGATGGAAACAACTCACCAAGTCATCTTCAGACGAGGAGGAGGACGACGGGGTGATCCCACAGACAGCCCCGGGAGCTGCAGCCCCGGAGATGGAGCACGAAGATCTTCTGCCGGCGGAGCAGGGGAAAATCCCGGACCTCGCCGCGCCATCGCCGCCGGAGAGGGAGTACCGATTGCAAAACGCGTGCATTGACGACCTTCTGGCCGCCGTGGCAGCTCTGGTCACTGCTTTAAAGCGGGAAGAGGATGTCGGGGCACCGGAGCAGTGGCAAGACATCTCCGCCGCCGCTGTTTCCCGTGCGTGGGATAAAGACAGGCATGGTCCGCGCAAGCGGCCGCCATTTTGCCGGACGGGTGGGACAGGATTCCCGCCAAACAGACCTCCTGCTGAAAGCGCTGAAGCTTCAAGAATACACTCTGAAAAAGAAGCTTCTCTTCATTAGGAAATTTGCAGCTGCGGGTGGCTCATGGGAAGCATTTCGATGATGCTTCGCCGCCACCTGCGCTTTTGCGGGATGGACGGAGATGGAGGTGGCAGCGATTTTTGCATTGCCCAACAAGTGCCAGAACTTCGCCACGCGAAGGCGGGGGGAGGCCAAGATGCCCCTCACCTATCACAGTCCGCTCATGGCGCTGGCGAAGTCTGCGCACCCCGGGACGGACCACGTCTAAAGGGATTCCCTTGTCCTCGAAAGAATGGTGCTGCTAGCCCAGGGGTTGGCAAATTTTTTGACTCGCGGGCCACAATGGGTTCTAAAATTTAACAGAGAGGCCGGGCCAGGAACAGATGGATGGAGTGTTTGTGTGAACTAATATAAATGACATGTAAAAATCATTACATGAAAGGATTTGGCCTTTAACAGGTAGCAAAGCATTTATTTGCAAGGCAATTTAACAAATTGCACGAACATGAACAATACAAAAACATGTTGTAACGTGACTGATCAAACATCATGAGAACATCTGAGGCCTGCGCCAAAACCAATTACCTCATTTGAACTTATCTACATTAACAGGTTAGAGCAGCCACGCAGGCTGTGTGTTGGAGATTTGGCTCCAACCTCGCTGCAGCAACGCATCATCACTTTCAGTTTCAGTGGGAACAGTGTTGTTGATCTCCCATTTTTGCCAGTGCATCCAAGTCTGGAGTTATTGTGGTTGTGGCAATTCTCAGGATAGATCTGAGGTGCTGATCCGTTAACTTTGATCTGTGACGGGCTTTGTTGGCGTTCATGACGCTAAATGTCTGCTCACACACATAAGTCGAGCCAAACAAAGTCAGTATCTTCTGTGCAGTCCTCCGGAGGTTTGAAAACGTGGCTCTGTTAAGTGAAGCATACAAGTCATTCAGTTTAACAGAGTTGAACTTCTCCTTTAGGACGGAGTCAAACTGAAGATATATCAGTTCCAACTGCAGCTCCTGTGGTGCTATTTCAGGGTCTTGTGACAGGGGACAGGACACCAGCTGAAGTGACTGTTCAATGTTTTCGAAATCAGAGAACCTACGGCAGAGTTCTCCGTGCAGGTCCTCAAGTGATTTGCTGTATTTTTTTGCGTTTCGCGGTGCCTCTTCCTGCATGGCAAGTGTCGGGAAATGAGCGAAAGATTTGTTCACAATTTGTCCGGAGAACAAAGTGAGCTTGGAATTTAAGGCTTTCACATGTTTGTACATATCGTGAACAAACTGATCTTTCCCCTGCAGTTTCACATTCAGCTTATTCATGTGTGAAAATATGTCCACAGCAAACGCAAAGTCACTAAGCCAGTTCTTGTCGCTTAGCTCAGGGAATTCGTCAGATTTCCCCATCAACTCCAAAAATGCGATGATGTCCTCTTTCAGCTCCCACACTCGTTGTAACACTTTCCCCAAACTTAACCAGCGGATACGAGAGTGGTACAGCAAGTCCTGATGATCCGCATCAGTTTCCTCAAGGAACATAATAAACTGACGGTGCTGAAGTCCCCTTGCTCGTATAAAGTTCACAAGTTGTACGATTAGATTCACGACATGATTAAGCTGCAATACAGACTTACACAGGGATTCCTGATGGATGATGTAGTGAAGGAAAATAAGATCCTGTACAGGGTTTTCCTCTTTCACTTTTTCCTGGATTATTTTCACCAACCCAACATTTTCTCCAATTAAATTTGGCGATCCATCCGTTGTGATATTGACAAGGTAGCTTCATTCTTTCGATGACAGCAGATACCTGGTTATACAAGTCCTCTCCCCGCGTTGTTCCTTTCAGGGACTCCATGGTCAAAAACTCCTCTGTTATCGCAAAACTGTCGTCAATGCCTCGAATAAAAATGAGGAGCTGAGCAGTGTCTTTTACGTCCGTACTTTCATCCAGTGCTAGTGAATATAATTCAAAGGATTCAGACTTTTTGTTTAATTGACTGGCTATATTTTCATCAATGAGTTCCACACGGCGAGTCACAGTCCTGCGTGATAAACTGACTTTTTCATATTTGCTTTTGATCTCCGGACACAAGATGTCTGCTGTCTGTACTATGCATTCTTTTACAAATTCGCCTTCGGAGAAAGGCTTGCTAGCCTTTGCTATTTTGAATGCCACCAAAAAACTTGCCTTGGTAGTTTACTCTTGAATCACAGTTTGTCGGTGAAAAAAATGTTGCTGAGTCTGTAAATTAGCCGCCAACCTCTGAGCCGTAGCCACCCGGTCTTGCGTTGACTGCTTGCTAGCGCAGTTAGCATGCTTCGTAGCAAAGTGACGGCTGATGTTGTACTCCTTGAAAACTGCGACAGTTTCTCGGCATATCAGGCATATAGCCTTCGATTGGACTTCAATGAAAAAGTATTTTGTTGTCCACTCCGTGTTAAACACTCGGCACTCATTGTCCACTTTTCGTTTCCTTGATCCGCTCATTTTAGAGAAGGGCTCACAGGGCAAAGCGAAAAAGTGAAGGGAGCACCGCATCTAACTCAGCAATGTAAACAAAGCCTGAAAATGGCGCTGATGGCCCACAATGCATTGCGAGATCATGTGCCCTTTCGAGCCCTATACACCACACTCCCGGTCAAAGTGCGCCATCTAATGGGGAAATGGGGGCATTACAGGAGGAAGGTAAAATTTTATTTAATAATAATATTTGGACAAGTTCAGCGGGCTGGATTAAAAAGCCCAACGGGCCATATACGGCCCGGGGGCCGTACTTTGCCCATGTCTGTGCTAGCCTAAGAATTTAAAGTCATCATGCCAGCCACGGAAGAGGACGACTTGTCCTCACTGAAAGTCGCATGGTGCCTCTAGGCACATTTCAACATCCAGCAACGTGCGACCGTGGCCGCGTGCATCGGACCTTCCGAGGGTAAAGGTGTACCCGGAGATGCGGAGCCTCTGCAAGCCTGTGCTTCACTGGATGGTGCAAATTGGAAGAAGTGCAATACGAGACGACAATGAGTTCGAGTCCGGCTGAAGGAGACCTTCCCTCGCCAAAGGGACAACCTGGTCGTCTGCTTCAGGTGCGGCCTGCCAGGACACGTCTTGATGGGATGCTGTGCTC